AAGACATTCCTCTAAGACCAGGAATCATTCTCGTAGCTCTTCGTTGCATCTTTTCTAAGGCAGCAATGTCCTTCTTGAGTAGTAATAGTATTAAAAAAAATTTGTCTTACTGATCTGAAGTATACTCCCCAAATGCTTGCTGACATTTGATGAACCTTTTTCAAACTCTGCACAGGCATTGTATGGGCGAGAAACTACAACTGATTAAATTTAGAGACAGGTCACCCCAAAACAGGTCAAGTGCCACATAGTGATAGGAAAAAAACAGGCAATTTTGACACTAGATACCATTAAGATGATAACTCAAAAACTATTAGATGGATTTTTTTCAAACTTTGCAGAGGCATTGTAGGACTGGTGACCAGTTTAATTTTTGAGACCGATCACCCCAAAATTGAAACAACAGTACTTAATGGCAGCGAAGGTTAAGGTGAACACCGATGACATTTGACATTGTGAAAAGTATTTGATGGATCTTATTACTGTTTCACAAAAAAAATGGATGAAGATCTACACCTGATTTCGTTTTTATATACATTGCCCCAAAGGTGAAGCAGCAGCACTGCGTGGCCACAAAGGAAGGAAAGACACTTGGTCTTGTGAACACAATAACTAAAAGTATTTTACAGATCTCTTTTCAATCTTTGCAGGCACATTGTAGGGGTGACAAACTAGATATGATCAAACTTTGAGAGCAATTGCTCCAAAATTGAACCAACGGCATTCAGTAACAGCCAAGACAAGGGCATTTCAATAGGTTTATCCTTGTGTATAGGGCCACTCTATTTTTTTTATAATTATTACTGTTTTAAAACACAATCAAACATGACTTGGATAAAAAAAATCAATGCCAGAACATTTTAAGTCTTTCAGGATAAATGGCTTTACTGTGCACTCCCACCCACTGATACAGTAAAGGAATTAAATCTCTCAGACAATATCAGGATGCGAGTTACATCCATGCTGTATTGAAAAATAAAATACTGTGTCCCATTTTGAACTTATATGGGATGCGTTTTCATACGTACATGAAAGCACAGTTTAGAATGCTGTCAGCAGTGGTTCTGTAGTTCAGTACAGCATTGCATTAGCAACACAGAGCTTGTAAGTTCAAATCTCAGGGACCAGACATAAATTGCAGTTGTTCACTGTACTATAGGTCTTTTTGCATAACAGCATTAGCTAAATGTACATCATGTGCATGGGGATAAAAGTAACTGTTACAGTTCTTACTATTATGTCACAAAATTTTTGTCATAATGCAAAAAAGAAATGTATTGAATATAAATATATAAGCAACATAAATAATATTTTCAGATATACACATAGGAATGCAAGTAACCACCTAATTTGTGGGGAAATATTGTATAAACTGGCATATAAGTGGAATTTGCAATAAATTAATGTTTAGTTTCAGAGTTACTTGTGAGAACTAGAACTGCAAAAAATCAGGTAAAGACACATAATAAGGCTTTCACATTTCCAGATATATAACTTTTGTACGTGGTTTGGCGCCCCATCCTGGGTTGTTCCCTGACTTTGGGACCTCTGGGATAGGCTTCAAACTCCATGCAACCTTGAGTAAGACAAGCGGTTACAGGACATGGATGGATGGTTGAGAAAACTTATGTATAACTTGTTTTTTGTGCTTGTAGCTGAAAAAATTGCATGGTATCTGACTGAGAACATTCCAGAGTAAACAAATGGAATAAGCAAAAAGAAAATGACAAAAGATTCAGGAAACTTTGAGTGAACTTCTTAAGAATGATTTTTAATATTTGTGCTATAGTAGATTGTATGCCTGCTGAAGTTTGGTTCTTGTTATCTCTGTGTATGTGATGTTGAATATACAGTTGTCCTCATATTCTGAATTATGATGAGTTCTGATTTTCATGATAGGTTAACTGTAATTAATCTGACTGATCATCTGTCAGCTTCTGAGAGACAAACCATAAAAATCCAGAAATGGTTAAACTTGAAAAGTAAAACACCAAGCCGATGGGAGAGAATTTTTAAGTGCTACTATCAGCGAGTCTTTGGGGAAACAGATTTAAGGAATGATTGAATTTTGCAGCTCTCCAAATGAATGTTTGTTTCTTCTGTGCATGGTGAGGGGGATTATGATGATTTTCTAATGTCATGTTTATAATTGGCCCTTACAGACAGATTATTTGGATTTATATATAAAGGCATCCATGCAGAGGACTCCTGGCTTATAGATGAACTCGTATGACTTGGCATCTTGTAGCTTAACCCAGACATAAGCTTTGAGCAGCTGGGGGCATGTAGATTCAGTTTGCAGGGGCGGAGGAGTTCTGCTGTAATTCATGCAGTACATTTTTGCATGGTATAAATATCTAGTTGGACTATTTTGTGTGTAATGTATGTTTCTTAAGCTGCTAATGCAAATGTTCAATGAAAAATTGGCTTTTTGTGTACAATAATACGGAGCCCCGTTATGGGTATGAATGTAAATGAAAATTCACCAATGATTCATTTATATATACAGGGATTATGCGATTTTGTGTGAATTGCTGTAGGATTATGGAACATTGCTATTTGCAGAGTCAGTTACCGCTGTGTACTTTGTTAAACACATTTTTTTCCAGACTGTAAATTCATTTGATCTTGCTATGTTGTATGTTAATAATGAGTAGACAGACAAAAGGTACATCTTCTAACCCTTTAATCTGGTCAGGGCTGCAGTGACAAAAGGTAATGTGCCTGTAATATATTTTAAGCCACAATCAATGGGTATATGTAATAATGTGTGTATATTGGGATTGGCATGGTGTGGCCATTTGATTGGCTGCTTGGATATTTATGAGGGTGGGAGCTCACCTTTTGGTGGACAGCCATCTGTCACTGTTAATCAGTAAAAAAATGGCACAGGCAGATTTGAAAACAAGATCATTATTGCGATCTATGCCTTTCTGGAGCTGTGGTACATATGAACTTCGTGATCTTCGTCAATGTGAGTTTATTCACAGGTTGGTTCTCTTGAATTAACTCTAGGTGCAGTACCTAGTAATTGGCCAAGAGTAACTAGAAATGGCAGTATTGACAAATTAATCGAAAACTTTGCAGGAACTTACAAATCATTCAAATCGGGCATATATAACCTTTAACGTGCTGGTCAAGAAGAAGAAATTAGACCAGCATTCCTCCAATCTGTACTATACTGTAGTGTAAAAGCTAGTGCAGACTTTTGCTTCCAATTAGAAAAAAAAACTTTTATAATTGAATATGTCATGGACAGAAAAAAATCAAAGTTTCATACAAATTCTTGAACCTTTACCTTATTTAACTAATACACTAGTGAATGCCCTTTTGAGGTAAGTTTTGTGAAAGATGGGCAGTGGATGGGCCCTTGGTTATCGCTTGAAGTTGAACACGTCCAGTACTGAGGCTTTAATTTGGCTGGTGGCATCTGGCTATGTGTGTGTGCTGGTCTCATGTGCATCGGGTTTGTGTTGGATTCCTCTCGTGGGCCAATGATACGTGAATGGGAGACAAATTGGCCCACAGAATTAGTGGGCTGTCCATGTACTGTGACATATATCATACTATCATTTTGTTTTGGCTAATTTGATGCAATCTGCAGAGATTATGAACAGAAGAAAACAGAAATAGTTGAAAATCAAAAAGGTACTTTAAATAAATAAACCCACATTTTTATTTGTGAATGAATTGAGTCTGTGAGTGATCTATTATCTTTCAGATTAGTAGAATGCTGGGGTCGTTTTGACTCAGCATAGCGATGAGTCTGAGCTATAGGCTATATGAGACAAACATCACAGTGCTGTGTATGGAGTCCAAGTCCTGTTGGCAGGTTTAAGAGAAACATCAAAGACATCATTTTGTTGGCTTTCTGTGTGTCAAAGCAGTGTTTGGAGTTTTCATGGTACTTGTTGCTGTCTTAACTGCATAATGGCTTTAATATGACAAAAGTTATTTTATCTAGTGAAATCAAGAGTTTATTCTTTGTGAAGCTGGTGTTGGTTAGTTAACATCTGGAAATTTTGTGATTGGATATGGGAAACCTGAATTAGTTGTTACAGATGTTTTATCATATATATAAACACTGCACAAAATTCCCCATTTGGTACAAACCTTGGTCTAGGGTTCTGTTATAACTGCTAGAGGAGGTTACTTTGATGAATCAAAGATATGACATTTTCTTGCCAGTAAATGGCACTCAAATGCTGAACGTACTGTAAATTTGTTAGCAAGGAATTTTGAGTGTTTTTAGTAAATGTTAAGAGAGTAACGACTGGTAGTTGGTGTGTGTGTATATATCACACATACATACAATTATTTTGATAATCAGTTGATCATGTGATCAGGTGATTAGTTAGGGCACAAACACAGGGTTTAAAGAAAAGTGAAAAGTTTACTCATTTCACTACCCTGATTTATGTTTGTTGCAGTACATCTGCCCTCTGCATGCTCTACTGGAATATCACTGTTGTACCATGACTGCCTGCGTCCACAGGCAAATGTACCATGTACGCACCATACGCACAACTGCGCAAATTGTAATGGCACACAGAAAAGTGTGTAGTAGCATGAAGTAGGCTTAACACCAACATTAATAGTGCTAGTTAGTGATGTCATTACACACAGTTTACGCAGCAAAAATCCAAGCAGTTGATGACAAAATTTGTTGTCAACTATTTTTAGTTCTGCTCATTATCGGTGTTATTGATCAGTTGCTGCAGCCTAATATAATTAGGTCGTTGCTCAGGGAGACGTCATGTAAACGGTTGTTTCTTTTTACAGAGTGGAGTTGAAAAGTACATTTCATAAAATACTTATTAAAATAAGGTTTAATCACAAGGCACTAAAGTGACTTCAATGAAGGTATAAAAAGCTTTTCTGCTATATTTTAATTAGTTTGAAAGCTTGTTAGATATTGTGCAGCATATTGACTCAATAGGTAGCACTGATGCCCAGGTCCACTCTGTGTGTGTGGGGTTTGTGTTTCCTCCCTATTCAGGTTTCTTCTGGATAATCCGATTGCCTGTAATAGTCCAAAGAAATGCAATTAGACTGACTATAGACTTTAAATGACCCCTCCCGTGTATTGCAGTGTGTGTGCCTGCATGTATTCTGTGATGGACTGGTGTCCCATCCATGGTGTTTTACCAGCTTATTGTCCTGTAGTACCTAGGATTGGCTCTGGGCCCCCTAAGAACAACCAGGGTGGTAGGGAGCTGGAGGAAGATGGATAGTTAAATTATTAGTAATTGACTGCGTCAGCTTACTCCAGGTGGAAATATCATTGAATCCTGTATCCAAAACGAGGTTGCAGTGAGTAAGGAGACTATCAGATAACCAAATGTGAGCGGAATGCCACACAAACTCCACACACACAGACCCAGGCGCAAGAAGGGAATTGTCAGCACTGGGAGTACCATGCTACACTGCAGGCTACACTGCAACCCACTGTGCCATATGAAATGCGCTGCGGGAGCGTAAACCTTTCAGAAGCCTCTCTGTGATAGTGCTCTGTCTTTGTTTACCAACTTAGTAACTATTACTATTTATTTTACTCTGTGATATTTTGCATCAGTACTGCTCTGTCTAATATGTGCTCATTCTTCATATTGCAGCATGCTATGGGATTGTTCAGGTCCCCACTGGTCCCTGGTTTTGCCGAAAGTGTGAATCGCAAGAGAGAGCGGCTAGAGTGGCAAGTATTCCCTTACAAATGTTTTGAAATGCCTTCACCACATAATTTTAGATTGCAATATAATTATGAATTTGCTATATTATTATTATTGTTATTATTATTATTAGCAGCAGTAATAGTAGCATTTAAATATTTGGGCTCTTATGTTCTCATGATATTATTTCAGAATTGATTACAGATAGGAATAGTACACACCTACAGAACAAAATAATGGAATCCAAGTTCACACAGAAACAAATTTGACAAAAAAAGTGATTGCATCAATGACAGCTGAGCTGATAATATGAAATTGCTCCATCTTTGACGCAGTTATCCTAGACAGGGCTACAGATAGGCCTAGACAGCATAGAGCACAATGCAGCGCTAACCCCTGGATGGGCTTCCAGTCCATCGCAAGGCACATATACACGCATTAGGGGCAATTGGGACACAGCAGTTAGCCAAATTGCATGCCTTTGGATTGCAGGTAAAACCCACACGACACGGGGAGAACCAACATGTACACTCCACACACATAGGCCAGAGAAGGGATTCAAACCCCTATTCATGAGCCACTAACCAGGCCTCGATGAAGCGTTACTCTTTGCAAAGTTCTGCATGAAAGAGTAAATAGCAACTGCCGGAGGTGTAATTTTTCTTTTTTTTTCTTTCTTATGAAACAGGAAGCAGCTTTGGTTTAGATTGAAAAGGATGTGGTTGTGGAAGGAACATAATTTTCTGTTTACCCTTTAAGGTTGACTAAAGACAGAGCCATGTATATTATGTTACATAAGCAGCATCTTGGCAAGTGTACTGTAACTGGCCAGCACAGGTGTGACACACACCCTGCATGTGACAGAACATTAAATGGTATGCCAGGTGTAGAACATGCAGTGGGAGGTGAAGTAAAGGGCAATGAAAGCAAATAGCACTGGAACTATCAGAAGCCATCTTGCCCTGTATAAAACATGCACTGTATCTTTTGCAGAGGTGTGAACTCTGTCCTCACAAAGATGGGGCCCTTAAGAGGACAGACAATGGAGGTAAATAACCAAGCTAAAGCAGTCTTAAACTGCAGCTGTTTTGCCACAGTTTGCTATGATGTCCCAAAAATATTCTTATTTGATCTTTTATGTGTAAAATTCATCAGGGATTAAAATGATCATTGATTGAATTTGCATTCTACCTAAAAAACTTATAGGTAAAACTTTACTTGACGGGGCACAGATACTTAGTAATTACTATTGAAGTACAAATCATGAACAAATAATGAACAAATAAAGTCGCTACTTGAGATGAAAGACACTTCACTTTATGAAAGTGACTTTTGATATTTCATTGCATATGCACTGACGACATTTACGTATTTTTATTTTATTTTAAAATAATTTGATAGTTGTACATGTAAGGAGTTTGCGATATGTGGTTAACCAAATGAAAAAAGGTTTTTTTTTTCTGTTTTCATGCTTTATTATGATTTGTTAAATTAAAGCACTTTATGTTTCATGTGTTACAGTTAATTCCTTTTTTCCTTATTTATGATAATGTAATGTTACCTCTTCCTGGTACATTATAACTCTGTTCTTGTGTTTACATGTATGTTCTTCTGTTGGAGAGTGACTGGTGTCCCCCCTGTCTTCAGGCTGGGCCCATGTGGTATGTGCTCTTTACATCCCAGAAGTACAGTTTGCTAATGTCTTGACCATGGAGCCCATCGTCCTTCAGTATGTCCCTCATGAGCGATACAACAAGGTAACTTCCAGCTGCCTCATTTGAGTTTGTCCATCTTTCTTTGCACTCACTTTATTCTAGACTTAAATTTTTGGAAAGTCTCTTACCCGTACTGTCCACTTTTCATAGCATAATCATAAAATACAGTGTGCGTCATTCAAAGGACAATTAATGTCTGTCGACGGTGTGTTACTGAAAAGTATTTAAATTTCTGGTGCGTTTGTGGCTGCACCTCAGACGTGCTACATCTGCGATGACCACGGGCGGGAGAGCAAGGCAGCCAGCGGAGCATGCATGACCTGCAACCGCCAGGGCTGCCGGCAGGCCTTCCACGTCACCTGGTGTGTGCTATGATCCGAAATCAACACGCAATCTCTCACATTATAGAAACACGTTAACTATTATTAAACCTATTTATGGCAGTCAATATTTAACTGTAAACATTGGCATTTAAACTACTTTTACATCCAGTCAGTTCAGTTCAGCTTATTTTTATATGTTACCTGTTTTGAATGTGGAAAGGATGCAGTATATTGGCCTCTCTGCAGGCTGACTGATGTCTGGTAATCCTCTGTCTGGGGATAAAAGTCGCTGAATCAAAGTGTCTTTTCAGAATTGCTAGTTTAGCAAGTTCACGTACAGACTGAACTTGCGTAAGATTTGTGTGTTTCCAGAGAGTGACCCGTGGATTTTTTTAGATGTGTTGATGTCTGTTGGAGCTCCCAGTTTGATGATGTAGCATATCTGGAGAAAGCCATGGAGGAACAGGACTGATTATCATGCATAAATAAGGCAGACAAAGGGTATGCAAGACTGGGGCAACTGTGAGCAATACATAACTCACTTGGTGAGTGAATGTGAGCAGCAAATTTGCAGCTTTGTGATGCCCCACCCCCCCGACAAAAAAAACGAACAAGAATTCAATGCAATGAATTTATAAAAAAATTCTAACATTGTTTTTATTTTCAAAATAAACTATAAAATAACTAACAATAAATAATAAATAAAGTATTTTAAACTTCTTCCGTAAATAACCAAGTGCAAATAATAAAAACAATAGAATTCACTCAACAGAGGACAGTGCTCTCTGCATGCTATTCTATAGAACTATGTAACACACATCTTTACAAGCTCCAGTTACAGGATCTACAGAGGAACACATCTGCATTTCCTGGCTGCAAAATCACCAATCAGGTCATCATCAGTTTCTGATCCATGTCACACAGCTTTTAACCTTTTCTCCATTTGGAAGAGTTTTGAACTGAAGGCTGATATGAAATGGTCTTCCATCGGGTCCCATCGGAAAAATAAAATCAGGCCTGACTTTGGAAAGACCTCTCCGCACGATTTCCACACGATCAGCAGCTAAAATGTGTAGCACCGAAAAGCTGGCGCATGGCCAAATGTTGGGCCTGTAATATCGATATGATATCGCCCAGCCCTAATACTGTTCCAGAGTCTACAGAGCTGCTGGTTGGTGGTTGATGTTGTGTGCTGGAACTGGAACTGCTGGTAGATGGATGCTCATCTGAATCTTCTTCCTGGCCTTGAGTTCCTCCTTGCACAAACCTCAGCATTGACCCTGCATTAATTTAGGAATACAAGACAAAATACTCAAACTTCAGGGATTTCATATTGAAATACAGTTTACAGGTTTAAACCCATAATAGAATAAATATTACATATATTAATTATTCATTTATCTATATGTAAATCTGACATAATTCCAAACTCTATTTTACCTTTTTCAGGGAAAAAAACAGAATTGACGAGGCACAATACCAAAATTCTGAACATCATTTGAACACTCTTATAAAAGGTCTACACACCAGCATATTATTATGGGGGGAAAAAACGACATAACTTTAAGATTGAATTTTTTTTTATTTTGTTTTTTTTTGCATGATGTAAAAGGGCCAAACATAGTTCAGGATGATAAATAAAGTCAACACTTTGGACATTGATCGAAAAATAACGATGACAAAATTACTGCCGTCCTCAATTTGGACGTGTTATATGCTGCCTGTTATATCCTCCAAAGGGGAACACTGGACTATTTTGTAAAAGTATTTAAATATATTTAGTTTGCTAATGGTAGATAGTGTTACCTGGTTACCATGGGCATGGAAGGCTATAATTCAATCATCTTTTCCTGGAGCAAATATGTTAGTTCTGTATTTCTTATATGTCTTAACATAGTCTATATTTTAAATATGTCATCATTATGATTATTATGATTATTGTGATTTTTCAGTAGCCTGATTTTTTTTTGCTGCCCCCATCGACACTTTATGCCCTTTGCGCAGTGCATTATGGGAGCGGCGGCCTTGTTCATGAATTTGCACATTCTTTCCAAGTTTCACCTTCTGTCCAAAACAGGAAGGGTGTTAGGTTGGTGCACAGTTGGTCAGGATGTAGCTGTGGTACCTCCTAAACCTAATGTGGGGGGTATGTATCCCACCGCTGATCAAGTGCGCACGACAAATCCCTTGATATACAGCATTTTACTTAGCGTGTCATTTACAGTATTAGGGCACGTGCAAAAAAATATGATTTGCCGACACAGAAAATGTCCCCAGCACAGTTTACTGTTTCATAGTCTAAAGTTAAAGCAAATTAATTTGGAAGTCTTTCCCCACTGATCTACAATGTAAAATTGTACATTTTAATTGTAAATTTGTAAATTTTATCTACTAAAAATTAATGTAGTATATTACCTCAAGAGAACACTTTGTTGATGGATGTCAACCATGATCGAGTGGATGCGTATGTATGGTTTTACTGTTCTGTTCAAATATTCCCTTTAAGAATTGGATCAACAAAATTACAGAACATTTCTTGAAGGTAATAAATGTGTAAACTGTTGCATCAACTTCACAGGAAGTATTTACATCAGACTGCACAGTTGCCTAAAAAAGTATCATAGATCTGATCAAACTTATTCTAGCAGCTCTGTGGTCACAGACAAATCCACAAATACTTAAACAATGCTTCATCTGAATATTACCAGAATATTTTCTTCAAAAGATTGAAAAAACATGCTACGGTTATAATTGTATTCCCCAGACACTGGGGAATGCATATGCTTTAGTGGCTGGTCCAATGCCACTGTTCAGACATGTTGTTTGTTAGGATGGTAACTCAAAAACTGTTTGATGGATCTGATGGAATTTTTCAGAGGCATTGTATGGTTGGCAAAATGGAACTGATTAGAGTGAGGGCAAAGAGAAGGACCCACCTGAGAACAGAATAAAATCAATGAGCAGGATGGAATATAGGAAGGCAGTAACTAAATTTAAATGGGTACCCTTAAAGAAAATTATTGTTCTACAAAGCAAGCACTTGATCTTAAAAGCACGACCCAAAATTATAAAACAGATAAACAGGACAGGTTAGATTATTAAAAGAATGAAAGAGAGTTTTCTTGGTGGCGGATGGAGTCTCTAGAAGTTTCTTGGAGGTGATGAGATGATCAAGAGATGGAGTTTGGGAGGACGAGGTCTGGAGCGGTTCTCTGCGTAGTGCATCTGTAATGTTCTGTCTTGCAGCTTTCCGAAGTTTTGCGTTTTTTTCTCCTACCTTTGTACGGGTATCTTCAGTTGTTCGATTCAGCTCCACTCCAGATGGATCTGAGGTATGGGATTTTAAGGTCCACGGTCATAAATATTGATTATTGGGAATTCAACACTTAGACCAATAGTCTGGGTCAAAGGAGTAATGACTTGGGCTTGTTTTGTAGCCGCAGGACCTGGGGACCTTACTGTCATTGAGTCAACCATGAACTCCTCTGTATAGCGAAGTATTGCAGAGTCAAATGTGAAGCCATCTGTCCGACAGCTAAAGCATGGCTGAATTTGGGACATGCAACTGGACAATGATCCCAAGCACACCAGGAAGTCTACAACAGAATGGCTGAAAAAGAAAAGTATCAAGGAGTTGCAATGATCTAGTCAAGGTCCAGACCTCAACCCGATTGAAATACTGTGGTTGGACCTTAAGAGAGCCGTGCCTAAACAAATGTCCTCAAACCACAATGAACTGAAGCAGCGTTGTAAAGAAGAGTCAGCCAAAGTTCCTCCACAACAATGTGAGACTGACAAAGTCATAAAGAAAATTATTATTTGAAGTTATTGCTGCTAAAGCTGGTTCTACGTTATTGAATCATGGGGTAAACTTCACACATGGGTTCTCCATTTTCTCTTCATTTTTGTTATATAATCATAGGGTGAAATCTCTTGTTTATTGATTTACACCTGAAGTTAGATTTAAATCATTTTAGAACCTGATAAGGACCAGATTATTTTTTATGTCCTGATACGTAAAAACATAGAACTGAAAGAGGGTGAACTTTCTTTTTCACATGACTGTAAATTGTTGACTCCCTTGTCTTTGCCACTGGTGGTTTACATTGGCAGCAAGCTATCAATAAATCTGGAAGTTCCGTCTTTAAAGCAGTATTGCCGATTTCTTAAGCATGACCCACAAGCTCGCTACAGTATGTTGATTTTCATTGAAATTATTATATCTTTCTTTGCTAGTGTTTATTTCTCACAAGTTTGGGTTTTGGTACATTGTACAGAGTGAGTCTGACTTATTAATAATAATAATTGACACTTTTATTAATCCCCGTGGGGAAATTCTTTTTACACCTCCCTCAACTTGCTCTTTGTAGAGTACGCTGTCTGTGAAGGGCAGCCTCCTGTTGGGGCACCCAGGGAGCTGGGGGTTGAGGGTCTTGCTCAAGAACCCGTAGATGTGCTGAGGCTGGGCTTGAACCGGCGACCTTGTGATTACAGGCACACGGCTTAGCCCACTGAGCCACACGCTGTTATCAGTTATTGTTGTTATCAATTATTGTTATCAATGCTTCAGTTTTTTAGGGACATAGTGATCCGTAACAGGGGGTCTGGCACCCCATACTCCCAGAGCCACCCCCACAGGATTCCCTGAGGGACACGGTCATAACCTTTTCCAAGTCCACAAAAAATGTAGACTGGTTGGACAAACTCCCATAAACTCTCCAATGTCTTTGTAAGGGTAAAGAGCTGGTCTAGTGCTCCTCAACCAGGACGGACACCACATTGTTCCTCCTGGATTCAAGGTGCGACAAACGGATGGCTCCTTTTCTCCCTGGTAGGCTGAAGAATGTGATCCTTCAGAAGTTGGAACATACTCTACAGTCCCCTTTCTTAAAGACTGGGACCACCACCCCCATCTGCCACTCCAGGGGCACTGTCCCCGACCTCCATGCAAAGATGTCACCCAAGACACCTCAACAATATCCAGAGCCTTCAGGAACTCAGGGCAAATATCTTGCACCCTTAGAGTCTTACCACAAAGG